AGAAAGGAGACTGAAATGGGATATTAGTGAAAGAGAGCGAGAAACCTACCAATTGCAGCTGGGATCTAAACCAGAGCTCAATTATTTATGCCTTCTTTGGAACTCGGCTCCCCTGGTTTCCCCTGTTTTCCTTGGGTTCGAGGGGCTTGTAGTCGCCGAATTCGCCGAAGACGTGGTCTCCTTCTAAGCTACGATAAGGACACAGGAGGTACATGAAGAGTTGGCCTATCAATTTAGCTGGGTACACATGGAAACTCAATCAGATAAAATTAAAGATAAGCAAAGTAAATGATGGAAACATTAATAGGTAATATGTAGATCAGATTATCAAATCCAATTGCGAATAGAGGAATTGCGGGCTTCCCCCAAACGCATATATATCAGACTAACAAATCTGACACCGCGAAGCAACGGGGGCAAACAAACAGAAAAAAATTACTGACTCCCCTTCAAATCGTCGGTTGGCTGGCAAGGGTTCAACGCAGAACTACCTAATCCGGATTGAGAGAAGCAGCGGGAGCAAACTAACCGAAACAATCTCGCCTCCCCTTCAAATCGGCGGTTGGCTGGAGAATCGTTCACTGCATAACTACCAAATCCGATTGTTAGAATTAGCGGGGGTAGACAAATACCACAAATCATGACTAACCTTCGATTCGCCGGTTGGCTGGGGAATTCACCGTCAATTAGCCGCAGGTCTTCCTCGCTCAATCAGGTGTTCGCCGCTCGTTCCAAACTGCATAATCTCGGCACGGTGAACTCCACATCAGCGGGCCGTCACTGCCTTCCTCCGCTGAGCAGCAAGCGTCAGTCCCTGTTCACAAAATTGTCCACTGAGAAATGGATCTCCTGCCGTGTTGCGGGAAGGAGAAAGCAAAACGTAGATAACCCAGGAGAAAATGGAAGATGATTTCAGCCACAAAAAAAAGTAGTGGGAACCGACGGTTTCTTATCTCTCCTGTCAGGCGGGGATTTATAATTTAATCCCGCGTAACTACCCTGCCACATCAGACTCCTAAAATCGCTCTATGCGCAGAAAAATTTGAATGGGGGTTGCAGTTTTACTTTTCAGCTATAAATTATACTGTTGATACATTTCGTGGGAAATATTGTGAGTCAGTCAGTCGTGGTTAATTACAGTAGTTAAACTAATTAATAGTAAGGCGGTTTTCTTTCCGTTTCCATATTATCTTTCCTTTTTTTTCCCTAATTAACTGTCAATTTGGCCTCTAAACTTTGTTTTTCTTTTCATTCAAGTCACTAAATAATTCGAACTCCTATCTGATTGGCGATGACATTTTTTTCCATATTTATAGGTATTTTAATATTCAATTCAATTTTATTTAAATACATGGATAGAGTTTGATGGATTTAAACCCATACCCATTTTATTTGGGTTGGGTTAGGTTTTTAATCCATTATTTTGGATTTGTTATCATACTCATATACAAATTACACTTTGGTACTTGTTGATGCTAGAGTTGTTGTCGACGTTAGATTCCTTGCTACAAGCACCGAGAAAAGCTTAAAGTCACCTTACACTGTGATCTTTGCTCGTGACGCTGACTCCCACCACCTCCTGTAAAAGGTCCGCTGGCCGATCTGGCAAGGACACCCTCTGACTCTCAAGTTAGTATTGAGTGGTGAGTTGAGGGAAAGAATGAAACTAAGAACTTAGTGTAAGAGAGAATGGTTTAGGCGAGCGGTAATAGTGGCTGCTAATAGTAGCAGGCTATCTAAGGGGGCTCGTCAAGACCTTTTTTGCTTACCTTTGTCGAAAGATGAGGGACGTTTTTTTATAGTGATCGTCCAAGAGACAAAAGAGGAAACGCGGCGGTGCAAGAGTGTAGGTCGACGCGTCGCCGTAAGAAGTGTCGTCGTCTCAAGGATCCGCTCGCCACGCGTCGTGCGCCCCCTGCTACGTCTAGGCGATCACGCCACGTGGTAGGACACGGTTCCACGAGAGTGCCACGTAAGGGAGGCAGTAGGAACAAAACAGGCACGAACACCATGGGTGGTGAACGTAGTGTGCCCGGGAGCAAAGCGGGTCCGAGGCCGTGGCTGCATGCGGTGAGCGGTGATTAGGATAGTTAGCTCGGTGCTAACTCCTATAAAGTTAGGATCGTAACTTCTCCCAATTATGCAAGGTCAATAACTGATCGAAAATGTTGTGGATTAACCGTAGTTTGGTTGAGTTAGTATTCAATTTGATATATTTTAAACATCGTATACCGATTTTTAACATCTTATTTTAAAGGCAAAATACACTTATATAGCCAAAACTTTCGCATGGTGACAATAATAGTCACTTTTGGAGAAATTCCACTAATAGCCACTTCCGTCTAATTCTTTAACGATATTAGCGTTAAGTCTGACTGGACAAACGGTGATGGTGGCGTGGCCAGACATAGAAATAAGTGGATAGGGGAAAAAAAGACTTTGTAGTCTGAACCGCCTCCTACCTCCCATCTTGCCCAATTCAATCCACTCCATGCCCCTTGTCTTTCACGAAGAAAATCCTCATATCTTCCAAAACCTTTTCCGAGCTGATAAAACTATCCCGTCGAACTCCCACCACCAACATAGCGCACATTGACATGGGATCAACTACGTCATGTGCAATCAGCTGCATCTCCACGACGGACTTCTTGATGTCCCAAATTGTGCAGGTGGTGTCGATGATGAAAATGTCGATTGGGCTCGATCTCGTTCCAATCAAAGGATGTTAGGGGAGGGCAGAACTCATTGGTCTTGCTGTTGTTGAGGACGGAGATGGGCTCGACGGGGCCTTCGTCGTGGAGGTCCTATAAGTGGAGGTAGTCGGAGGAGGAGGCGAGGATGTCGCCTGAAGCTGCCGACGACGATTCAGTGGTGATGGGTGGGCGAGAAAGCCATGGCGTAGAGAGGATACATGGAATTGTATGTGGCGGAGGTTTCCAATTTGAGATTCAATTTTTGGCTGGAGCTCTCCATTTGCTAGGATGCAAGGTGGGAGGTTGGGGAAGAAGTAGGAGATGGAATGGGGGAAAGGGGCAGATTGGTGACGTGACGGAGGTTTCCGATTTGAGATTCTATTTTTGTTGGTGGTGGTATTGCAGCTGGTGGCGGTGGTTGTTGTGTGGACAACGAAGGAAGAAGGCGAAACTAAATCTAGCCTGAAAGATGAGAGAGACGTGGTATATCAAATTTTCTATTTTCATTTAACTTAAATGTGACGTGGCATATGTTAAGTCTAGGTAGACGTGACTTGTTGTCCTAGTGACATCCACGCCAGTCTAACGTCTATTTAACTGACGAAATTGTTGTTGGTGTTAAAGTATTGGACGAAAATTGCTAAATTAGTCAAACAGGTTGAGAAATCGTGGCTATATCTAGTTTTTTTTAAAAATTGACTATTATTATCACAAACCTAAAAGTTTAGGTGTATACGAGTGTATTTTTGATTATTTTAAACATCTGTTATCAATTAATCAAATATATGCATTTTAAAATCTCATACCGATTTTATATGAAAAGGGAAAAAATAAAAGGATTTGATAATAATACTGCAACCGGAAATTTGCGGGTTGGATCCTGTGCTTAAGCCTAGAAGTTTAAACATATGTTTAAAGCATTCCTATTGGTTGATAGGAATTTATTTAGTTTATGGAAGGTTAATAGTTTGTGGGGTAAAAGGGGTATTAGAAAAAATAATTAATGTCATTAATAATTAAAACAATATTGTCTCTCTCCTAATATTTAATGAAAATTCGTAACTATTAATTAAATATTATTGTCTAATATTTAAATAAATTCTAAATTTAAATTTGAAATTCTAATCAATATTTAAGATTTTAAAAATGGAAATTCAAAATAGAAAAACCTCTCTCCGTGGCAACTTGACATTACATTATTAACGTTTTGCAATAAGCAAAAATTTGTACTTAATAATATAGTTCATCTCATTAATAATTTAAAAAAACTAATCAATGCTGTAAGATCATATTATTAATGATTTTAGATAAATTGTTAACGATTTATATTTTTGTCGTCAACAATCCTGAATGAATTATTAAAGTTATGCAACAACATCATTAATGATTTGTATAACACTATCATTAATCTGTAATATCTATTAACCATTCACATTTTCACGTCATATTAATAAGTAACCATTCACGACCTCTTACAATGACTTCCAATTACATTACCAACGTTTATGAAATGAATTAGTATTGATATCCTCATCATTGTTAACAATTTCAATATACTTATGAATGATTTAATATTATAAGAGTTTACATTGAAACATTGATAGTGACATTCGTAATCATTAATAACTATTTTGTGTTGGCGTTGAAAATACAAGCAAAATCATTGATAATGATTGCATCTAAATGGGTAATGCCTATAGTACATGTTATTAATAACTCTCTTCTCGAACCGTTGATAACGATATAAAAACTATTAATAGCTAAGCTGTGTTTCGTTTAAAATGCGAACAAAATCATTGATAATGATCGAATTTAATGGTCGTCAACCATACTACATATGATTTTATAATTATTTCTCAAATATTGATACACTTATAACCACCCATTAATTATGATGCGAATTGTGATACGGATTATAACAAAACTTTAATAACCATAGTGTAATTCATTAACAATACCTATATAAAACATTTAATAGCGTTAGTGTAAACCATTCAAAAGGAAATACAAAATGTTAACAGTACTTTGTTTTTGTAGTAAAAAATGACATCAAATCATTAATAATGAGATTGAAAATCGTTAATAAGCAACCTAATAATACTAAGCTTTTGAGTAGGGAAATAATAAAACTACTTTTGAAAAATAAAACCTCCAGAATTAAGTAACCAAGAAATTAAATCTTGTAAAGAATAGAAACCTAATAATATCAAACTATTACAGATATTGCAACCAAAAGAAGCACATAAGCCGTACTCTCGGCTGTTGGATGGAGAGTTGGAGACTCTTGTCCCCGACGAAGACTCTCGACGGCGACGGGAATATGAATCGGTGTAACTACCCATTCTCGGCGGTGTGAGTCAAGAATTAAAAGAAGAAAAAACTACCAATTTAAATCCCTTTCTCGGGTACTGCTTCCGAATGGTCTGATTCCTCTGCCTCTGATTCTGTGTTTTATTGCGGTAGACAATTCGTTTTATAATAATTAGGGTATTAGGTTAAACTTTAGATTAGTTAAATTAAATTTTTTTTTATCTTAATACCTTTAACCACCTATTAACTACTAACGCCTCATTAACCACTCAATTTGCTAACAGAACAGCCAATAGAATTGCTTTAACCATATGCTTAAACTATTGGGCTTAAGCACAGGAACCCAAGCCGGAAATTTGGGGTTGATGTTGAATCGTTGATCACTCAGGGCTCAGGCCAGGCCATCAGCAATCCCACTACTGGTTCGAAACGCCATAGCTCTGCCATTGCCAATTCAAAGCTACCCCAGCTCTCCATCGCCTGGTCGCCGCCATGAGGTCTGATCAGATTCCATCGTCCAAGCCGGATGAAGCAGACCGGGAACTGCTCAGCCGCCCCGCCACTTCCCTCATCACTGCCCGCAAGAAAGGGACAGGAGTACGGGCATGGCTCCTGCTGGACTCTACCGGCCAGGCCCAGACTGTGGAGGTAGGGAAGCACGCCATCATGCGTCGCACTGGTTTACCCGCCCGCGATCTTCGGATTCTCGACCCGCTTCTGTCGTACCCGTCCACGGTTCTGGGCCGCGAGAGGGCGATAGTCATCAATTTGGAACACATCAAGGCGATCATAACTGCGCAAGAGGTTTTGTTGCTGAATTCCAAGGACCCTTCTGTCACTCCCTTCGTTGAAGAGCTGCAAAAGAGGCTTACCTTCCATTTTCACGCCACCAAAGCACAGGTACGGAATTTTTTTTTGCAGCTTTATCTGTAAGTTGCTAGATTGCAAAATTCGAATTCATGGTGATCTATGGGTTTGTGGAGCTATTTGGTCCTGTTTGTCTTAGAACATTCACGTTGGTCTTTCATTGTAAATTGTAAGATTACATGAGTTTTTGTAATTACAAAATCAATCGCATTGATGAAACTTCATATGTTAAGTGTGTAGAGAGCTTCTTTGTTTTGAAGTTGAATTTGGTTGAATTGATCTTCATATGGGAAAGGACAATCCATGGTTTCATATAAGGGACGTGCCTGTTTGTGCTACCTTTTGTACTATACATACAGAGGTTTGATTAGGTTCATTTTCATAAATGCCGAAGTTGAAAGAGGGGACTTTCAGTGAATTAGGCGCTTGTGGGATAGGCATTCTATCATTTCAGCAGTTCATATCAGGATACTTATTGAACTTTCATGTGCGCTTGTGATTTCTCTGCACCTGGTGTGATTGCAGCATTGTTGAGTCTTTGCACCATTCTGCAACTTTTAATCTCCCTTTGATTGTTAAAGGAGAGAAATGGAGACGATACAAATTGGAAGACTGTGTATGATTCCCAATTGCTGAAATCAAGCACCGAGAGCCCTGAGGAATTTCCTGAGCGTTCATTACTTGGTCGTGATCATGAGGAGGGAAGGAAGACAGATGGGAGGCAGAGCGTTGAGAACCGTGATGGATCGAAGGTTCTCCCATTTGAATTTGTAGCCTTGGAGGCATGTTTGGAGGCTGCCTGCAGTTGCTTAGAGATTGAGGTAAGCTCTTAATTATGTTTTCGTTGCTTCTGTTACTGAACAATTTTGTGATCGTCTCGTTTTGCGCATGTATTGTTGTTTTACATTTTCCTTATCAGGCAAAAACATTGGAGCAAGAGGCTCATCCAGCATTGGATAAGCTGACTTCAAAAATTAGTACTCTCAATTTAGAACGTGTTCGGCAGATCAAAAGTCGTTTGGTGGCAATAACTGGCCGAGTCCAGAAGGTTGGTCTGCAATGAATTTACTGGTCTTTTTCTTAAGCATAGACACTGGTCCATACGTAATATTCAATTACAGGTAAGGGATGAGTTGGAACACTTGCTCGATGACGATGAGGATATGGCTGAAATGTACTTGACTGAAAAATTAGTTAACCTGGAAAACTCGACAGCTTCCTCTTTCAGTAATGGAGATGAAATGGAAGATGATCCACCTGAAATGGATGACAGGTAGTGAGCCATGGATGTTTTTATTTTTTATTTGTGGTTGATGGATCTCTGTGTTTGCTCATAAAAGATTGTCCTCATGTTGCATGCACACCAGCCTTCCTGTTGAAGCATCTAGGGAAGGTGGACATGGTGCATCCAGTAGCTATGATCCGGATATTCAAGCTGATATCCCTCATGTTCATCATCCATTCAGTGCGCTTAGCCGCACACTCACTAGTACCACTAGGAGTGCCATGAGCAAGCACCTTGATGTGGAGGAGCTAGAAATGCTTCTGGAAGCGTACTTTGTCCAAGTTGACGGAACTCTAAACAAACTTTCTGCGGTATGAATTCATCATTGTTTTTGTTGCTTATAACTCTATATCTGGAAGAGGAGAATGATTATTTGTGGAGGGTGAAAATGTTGTTCTACAACAGTAGTTTGTCACCCAACTTTCACCCTTACGAATTTTCAGAAAACATATGAAAAAATGTGGGCTTTCACTCTCTCCCTTCACTTGCACCCTGCTCCCTTTCACCTCTTCTGCAACAGAGGAATAGATAAACACATCATCATGAGAATTGAGAAGAAATTGTGATTTTGACCGATGAATTTATTTCTAACTCCCGTACGTTTGGGTTTTGCGTGATTTGTGTTCATGTGACATGAATGAAGCTGAGGGAGTACGTGGATGACACAGAGGACTATATCAACATTATGCTGGATGACAAGCAGAACCACCTTCTGCGAATGGGGGTTATGCTGACGACTGCAACACTATTCATCAGCTTCTTTATCGTGCTTGCTGGTGTCTTTGGCATGAACATCGAGATCGAGCTGTTTAAGGAAGATGTGAAACAAGGTATGCCAAAATTTCTTTGGACAGTAGGTGGGGGCGCTATGGGGACTGTATTCCTCTTTGTTGGTGCTATTGCCTGGTACAAGCACAAGCGACTACTAGAATAGTATAGCAACAAACAATTTCTTCATTTTCCCAAAATTTGTAGCTCATTATTATGGAAAGAATGAAGCAAGCGCGAAACTCAAATATCAAATCCTTATCTGGTCGAATAGATGGAGAACAGGGTACATTGCCCCGTACGGGTAAGTTAGGATGCAAGTTTGTGGTTCTGCACTTGTTAATAAAACCAAAGTGTTCATCATAGAGAGACCTGCCCTTTTTCATGCTGTCATACAGAGGATTCCCACAGTGGAACTGGTATATGTACTTGCTACTGGAATTTGAGCTGTTGCAGTGATTGTGTAACTAACAAAGAGCCAGTAACTATGAGAGGAAGGTCCAAGGAAAATTTGAGAACAATCAACTCCTCGAGTAACAGTTGGCCCTCAATTTACAAAATCAGTCTCTTCTCGACACAATGTCAGTTGGGAGTTTGCTGTTCATTTCCCTGTGGTTAGTCGAATGTCGCTCGACAAACTTATCAGTGATATGAACTTGGGCAAGAGGAATCCTGCTGTCCATTCACTTTCAGCTCTCTCTTCAAGGAACTGAAATCAGTCATCATGAAGGCAAAGCAGAACAACCTACACATGTATATAAACAAAACGAACAGGCAATGATGAACCGCGTTTGTGATTGATTCCTGGTAGCCCAAGCTTACCCATACTGGTGCGCACGAAGAAATAATTTTAGACTCTATTGCTTCCACCCTCGTTTTACCAGCGAATCGTGGATACTAATAGGCTCGTCTTCTGTCAAATATAGAGTAGATGAATTTCATCGCCACAAACAAGAGTAGATGGCAAAGACAGCAGCAAGAGATTCAACATCAAATGCACTTGCATTGCACAGAACCATGAACTATGCCCCTGAGCCTGATCTCCATTCCAAATTACAACCCCAGTAGTAGTCGTTTAAACATAAATTACATTGTGTAACAACACTCGCGTACATTAATATATTATACACACACAGGGACGAAATATATATTGTACGATCCTATCCTTCTCGTTCCAACATCCGATTCTTCTTTCAGTCCTTACGCTGATACTCATCTGTCTCTTCTGAGAAAATAAAGTGTAGCTTGCTTCTTAGATTTCTAGATACTAACAAACAAACCCGGTTCTTAAACCTTCCCAAACTCGCCAGCCGGTGGTTGCTGTTCTTGTGGATAGTCGGATGGGGTTAATCCAATACCTTCGTTCTTATGCTTCTCCCACCCCCCAGTATCAGCTCTAGAGTGAGCCCAGTAATAGAGAATGGAGGCTAAAAGTGACAACAACGTCAAGGCTGCTCCAGCAGCAAACACACCCTTGCGAAGGGTAGCACAGGAGATGTCTTCGACTTGGAAAACTCCTCGATACTTGGTGTGGTATGCATTCTTAGCCGATCCAGCTAGTAAGCATGCCTCAGCTCCCAAGAAGCACAGCCTAAGTAAAGAAAGATTTAAACTTTTATATATGCATTTAGATCAGTCACCAACTCCTAAACCTAGAAACGGAAACAAACTTAACAAAAAGGCTTGAAAGTTCCACCCCTTCCCCTGTAACCAGAACTGGGTTTAATCCTCGTGAAGTTCAAAAGTTTTCAGTGTCTTGCACATGAATGGCTGTCATTCTTTATGATCACAATGTCAATCAAAGTGAGAAAGATATCATACAAGTAAACCTATGACAAGAAAACTAATCCAGTTGTAGAGGTATGATGAAACTAAGTGCAAAGGTACACTCATTCTCTCAAGTACTAGTAGGGCTGGTCCACAATAGCCACACATGCTAGATCATTACAGATCAAAAGGTGCCCCATAATGCATCCAGTTTTGATGCAAATGTCAAAAGTGGACAAGGGGAAGCACTTGATGTAGCGATCATTATGATATATGTTCTACCCCATTTCAGCTTTGAAACTCAGGTACAGAAATAGAGCAACGAGCAGACGAAAATCTGAGCTCTCAAGCACAAGACCACAAGAAAAAGGAAATCAGACAGGTTCAAGAAAGTAGGGCACTTTTTGCCTTAATCAGTCAGCCTGCGTGCAAGCCCAGACCCTAAAATGTGTGAAGTTGAGGTCGCAACCACCCAAACCCTAAGATTCCTTTTTGCCTGTGCAAACTAAGCCTAACACTGTTCAGTATAAAAGCGAGGAAATCTGGCCGAGAAAAAGGAACAATTGAGAGTCTGGAGAAACGCACCAGGAGAAAACGAAGAGGAAGATTGCACATGTGGCGGCGGAACTTCCAGTGACTAGGCCTTTGCCGAAGCACAGGCATCTGGTGACGCCATGAATCACAGTCTGGCTGATGAGCAGCAGCCCAAACGCGGCCAAGCCGTAGACGGAGGAAGCGTCGGAGCCGTAGACGCAGAAAGTCCTCTCGTCGTACTTGTCCGGCACCACCGTAGCCTGGATCGGAAAGAAGAAAAAAAAAGGCATCCAAACAAATGAAGAAGCGACGGAGGGATTGGAAGTGGAGCAGCCATCCAAAATACTTGAGAGTTGAGAGAAAAAAGAGGTAAAAGGAAGAAACATACGGTGCTGCGGCGGCGTTCGGCGCCGATGGCGAGTACAAAGGCGATGAGATGGAGGGAGACGATGACAGCTAGAACTGGAATCGAGACAGCCATTATCGCTCTCTCTGGGTGGACACACCGCCGACTACTGCTACTTCTAGTACCACTCGCTCTTCCTACTATCTTACTGTGGAGGTGTTCTTTTTCTTTTTTCCCCATCATTATTGTTATTGTTATTTAATTCATATTCATTTCCGTGTTTTTAGCGGGCCATTGTCGTCTATCTTTTTCCTTTTATTTCTTAAAAAAGTAGAATTGTCTGTTTTTCTTCTTCGAATAAAAGAGGCGCTACTTCGTCGTTTTATTCGTAATCGGGGGAACGTGTCTCAACCTTTTGGAATTTGGTCCCTAATTTTTCAACCTTTTCCCTAATAATTGCTTTCTTAATTAACTAATGCGTGAGCTGCGTCCACATTGAAACCACAAGGGGTTATTGTTTGAATTTTCGTTTTTCTATAGCCGGAACTTTGATCAAAATAAACATCATGGTCAATATTTTCGATCGATAACATCTTGGTCCGAACTATACATCAAAATAAACAATTTGGCAAAATTCGACTTTTGACCGTTAACTTGGACGGTCAAACGCGTTGAACGTTAGTCAACACGCCATGTCATTGCCAAGTCAGCATAAAATATTTAAAATAATTCAAAATTTCCAGACATTCCCTAATTTTAAATTATTATAAATTAAAAAAATCATCTAATACCTTAGTTAAACCAAAAATAAAAAAACGAAAAAAATTAAATATTTATCAGATCTTCTGACTTGGCAGTGACGTGGCGCGTTGAACGTCCAAGTTAACGGTCAAACATCGGGTTTGGCCAAATTGTTTATTTTGGCGTATAGTTCGGGCCAGGATGTTATAGATTGAAAAGATTGATCAGGATGTTTATTTTGGTCAAAGTTCAGGCCATAAGAAAATATTCACCCTATATAACATTGGAACGGGATTGGTAGTTATAAATATTTAATTAATTTATATTGAATTGAACAAAACTAAATCAAAATTTTGATTGCAGGTTGGTTAATTTTTCGATTGTCAAAAGTAATGCCTTTTTATTTTATTATTTAAAAACGATACAAATATCATTTTGTCTTTTCTGTAGGACTTTCTCAAAGGATTTGTCATAACTTTATTTGATGCATTGTCCGTAATGAAATAAGTTAGGACTTTGCTACGGTGACATGCATGTCACGGTGACATGTACTTTTCGGTCGACCTCATATAGGATTAGGTCGACCTAATCTGTTGTTTCAGTGTAATAGCAGTTTCATGATGCCTACTTTGAAGATTCATATCTTACAATTGGCTAGATGGAAATTGGAAATTAAAGGCTTGTTTTGAAGCTGAAGTGTCTCTCTACACATTAAAATACTTGAGAGCTCAATAGAAAGTTCAGAAGACCATTTTTGAACCTGACCAAAAGGTTATGCCAAAACTGGGAAACTGCCTGAAAATGGCTAAGTCTGGCAACGTGTTTGTCAAGCCTACTTTGAAGCTCAACTTGAGAAGCATGGATGCGAGTCAAGTCCAGGGGCCTCTACCACGTTAAATTACCTATTTTTTTATATAAAGGCAAGGCATTGGATGAAAGATTGAATATCTTTAAAGCTTCAAACAAAAGGCTCGAAGTTGCTACGAAGGTTGTTTTTCTGGCCGCTTGCTTGTGCTCGAAGTCTGCCAGAAAAACAGCCTTCGTAGCAACTTCGACCCTTTTATTTGAAGCCTTACAGATATCCAATCTTTCATACAATGCCTTGAATTTGTATGAAAACATACCTAATTTAACGTGGTAGAGGCTCCTGGACTCGACTCACATTCATGTTTCTCGAATTGAGCTCCAAAATAGGCTTCACAAACACGTTTCCAGACTTAGCCATTTCCAGGCAGTTTCCCAGTTTTGGCATAGCCTTTTGATGAGGTTCAAAAAGGTTATTCTGGACTTCTTATCGAGCTCTCAATCACTTCAATATGTAGAGGGACACTCCGGCTTCAAAACAAGTCATTAGTCTTCAATTTCCATCTAGCCAATTGTATGATATGAATATCCAAAGTAGGCACCATGAACTATTTTTACACTGAAACAACAGATTAGGTCGACCTGATCCTATATGAGGTCGACCAAATCCTATATGAGGTCGACTAGATCCTATATGAGGTCGACCTAATCCTAACTGAGGTCGACCGGAAAGTGCAAGTCATCATGACATGCATGTCACCGTAGGCACACCCAATAAGTTAAAATGCATGACTTTATGTGTAGAAAATGACAACTCGCTAAAATACTCGTAACAAAATAAAATAAATAATCAATGTGTTCTCACCGTATCTTTTTATAATCTAAGTTCGTCCGTAATTATAAAAGTTTTATTCAACGAAAAAGAATTATAAAAGTTTTTAATTTTAAATAGTTCATCATCTTCAATTGACACTTCGATTCTCCCCTCCCTATTGAAATGATCGCCAACTTCGATCCGCTCGAGATTCCTCTCCAACCTAGCTTGGTAATTCGCCAGACGAATCATGGGAAGAGAAAGAAACATGTGTAGAAATGACAAAATGAGAAAAAGGTTGAGAAAGAAACAAGTGAAGAAACGATTGAATGAAAAGGAATAAATAAGAGATGGGAAAAAACTTGGTCAGTCGCTAGACTCATCTACGGGTTCAATTTAAGAAGTGAAGAATGTGATATTTTCTATGAATGGAGATAAAATTTTCATTCCCGATGGGCTCTCAACTTCATTATACTACTTGGCATATCATGGGTTCAGATGTCACCGTAGCAATTCAGTAGATCTTTTGAGAGCAATGTCCTTCCTCATGAGGTAAATGCTACTATCCTTATTCTAATTACTAAGTTCCCTAATAATGATACAATGATTTTCAATTGATTTTGTTGGGGGCATTACTAAATATATCGTGAAGAGACTAGGTACTAAAGCACCCAACTAGGAGCGCCCAATGATGGAGCTGGAGCTCACCGCGTGACGCCCGAGTAACTATATAAGGACGTCTAAGTCTTCCAAGGGAGGGGTCTTCTTCTCTTCCCTCACTTTTCCCTCTCTCTCTCTCTCTCTCTCTCTACATTATTCTTTCAACTCACTCTAAACAATATACTGACTTGATCGTCAGAGTTTAATCCGGGGGCATCCCCGACTTTCCACAGGTTCTTCCCCTCCCAACAAGATCAGACGAACGAATGACGAGTCAACCCACACAACAAATCATTATTGTTCGTATCCGGATCTAGATGGTACAAACAGATTTCTTGTCGTAATACTCTATACAAGTGTATAGCAAGATTCTGCCTTCTAGGCTTAATCCTTTTCTTCCTCTAGTAATTGGAAAAATTCAAACATGATTTGTTGAAAGTAGGTTAATAGGTGAGAATATATGGCTGGCGCATGAAATGATGCGAAAGTATAATAGGAAAAATATCTCCCAATGGTACGCAATAAAGATTAATTTAATAATCCCAAGGGATGAACTAGTAGTAATGTGAGGATGATTACATCTACCATACTCTAAGTTCCAACCTTGGGTCGAACAACAAAAAAAAAAAGAGATTTATTTAATGAACTCTTTTGACTTTGTGGGTTGGAGGTTTATTTTTACAGTCATGACAGCCACAGGGTTCTCATATGTGTTTCTAAAGTAGCTACGTATTTGTGTCAATACTCTCATGCTCGATGTTGGTATTAATGGGAGATAGTAGGTTTTTTGTTGCTAAGAAGGGATTTAAACATGAAGACCTTTTATCTTCGTATTTGTTCGTGGTTTCTCTCGAAATCTTGTAATGCCTATTAAAAAATAATGCAAGAGAAGGTACTTCACTATCATCCAATGTGTAAACAGATTGAGTTTACACATTTATGTTTCGCTATGATTTTCTAATTTTCTATAATGGTCTCATAATTGAGGTGTGAAAAGGATACTAGAGCAGTTTAGAAAACTTTATGGACTAAATATAATCGGGTAAATTGCAAATTTGGTCACTGTGTTTACTAAAAAAGTTCACGTGTGGTCACTGAAAATATTTAATTCCATTCGTGGTCACTAAGATTAGTTCAATGGTTCAAGTTTGGTCACTCCCCGTTAGTCTCCGTTAAATTTATCTTATGTGGCAGTCAACTCTCGTAGTTGACCGTTAAATATGTGATGTAGCAGTTAAAAATAATATAAATTAGTTTTTTATTTTACACCTCAGTACAAATATTAAAAATAAAAAATATACTTTTTTTAATTTTCCTCCACCAGTACAAATATACTTCTCTTTTTCAACCACTGCTCGGAACAGAGGCCCGACACGAAGTGGAGCGTCGCCCGGCCCACCAGGTCCACAGCCTAGACTTCTCGAGCATCACTGTCGTGGGATTCGAGGGTGAAATTGCTCGGAAGCAAGGCCCGACATGAAGTGAAGTGCCGCCCAGCCCGCCAGGTCCACAACCCAGACGTCTCGGGCTTCGCCGCCGTCGGATTCGAGGATCGATTGGAGGGCCGACGATGGTGGTGGATTCGTACTCGGCGGCAACGTTCTTGGATTCGAGAATCGATGATGGCGGCGGTCGGATTCGTAATCGGCGGCAAAGTTCTGAAAGATCTAGTCGGAGAGGACCCAGGAGGGTTCGTGACCGTCTTTCCATTGGATTAAGTACCCCATCCCGGCGCCGCCTTCGAGACCTCTGCTTCCGATGATCTTGTCGACTTCGCCGTAGTCGTCCTTGCCTTGGATTGATTGATGGGTTCTCTAGTGGGTTTTAGGGAGTTTGGATGGGGACACCATATGAGCAGTCGTCGATGGGAACTCACAATCTCGTCTCGTTCAATTCAATTGAAGGAAGTGAAGGCAAACGGGATCTGGGTTTTTTCTGGGTTATTCGTTAGACTCTTTGGAGAATCCGTCGTCGATCCCTCTCTCCATGAGTTCAGATGTGGCAGCAGAGATTACGACGATTGCGGCTTCTCTGCAAATAGACAAACTCCCATTGATTCACGCTGATCCGATGAAGCTAATTGAGGTGCAAGCCTACAAGGCGTGGGCGGCTATTGAGGTGGAGCACGAGCAGGAGGTTCGGGAGGTGGAGAGAGAGATGGAAGTGTTGGAGCTCCAACGCCACACCAATCTCTGGAGGTTAGAATCTCGTCTGTTG